TTGCCGTCCTTTCGCGCGCCTGGCCACTCAGGACCTCCGCCGCACCCACCCTCGCCCAGGACCGGCCAGGCCGGGAGAGCGGCCCCTTTAAGAGTTTTCACAACAATAAAGCAGCCTCGGCAGCCGCTTTATCCTCCGCCGTCGTTCCGCCCCCAGCGCCCTTCCTTATTGGAACCCCCCGTCGGCCCCTGCTATCCTCTCCCTCCATTGGCTGAGCCTCCAGACCCGTCTCCCAGATGCCAGTGTTCATTAGGGAACTGTGATGCCAGTCTTTCGGGTCTGTCCAATCGCGGAGCGCAGCGGGCGGCACAGTTAATCACGGAGCGCCGGAGGCCAATCGGAGCGGGAGGACCTCTACGACTCAGGCCTTATGTGGAGTTTCGGGGCGGGTCCTGGGTTCATTCACAACATTCCTCCCCCGCCTCCCCGGGGCTGGACAGCTCTCCTCCTGCTGCTGGGGCTGCGCCCACACACGGCTTTGTTTACCGAGGGTCGCTTCCGGCGCCAGGCTGTGCCACTAGGAGCGGAGCAGCACCTCAACCTTCACCTGAGGCTGCGAGATCTGAGAAGCGCTCCCAAGCGTCTTTGGGAGCCGGGTCGAGTTTGAGGCTGGGGGCCAGGATAGGCGGTGCAGACTTTTGGTGGGGCGCGGAGGGCTGCAGACCTGGGCCCAGACTCACAGTTCACCACCTGGTCCAACTAGGACCCCATCCTTTCTATGCCCTAAGTGGGTTGGATCACGACAGTTTATTGTCTTGCTAAGTAGTTCAGGCTGGCCTGGAACTCGGGAGAGCCTCCTGCCTCAGCCTCCTGAATGCTGGGATAACAGGTGTGTGCCCCCATGTATGGCGAAATTTCTGGTTTCGACCATCTCAACCTAGTAAAGTGAGAGGTTTCAAATCCCACCACCTCTGACCATTTTTCTTACTCGGCTTGTCTGGACCACCATCTCTGGCCCAGAAGTTGGCCCTGGTCTTCCTCACCACCCCCTCCCCTCTCCCACGATCTCAGAGCACCCTACTGTCCCTTCCTCACCTTGCTCTGTCGTGGTTTATTTGTTTGTGTCCGTGCTGCTAGTCTGAGAGGAGCCACTGGTTACCGTCACACGCGCAGCACTGGCATGCGGTGGCAGGAGCTCTCTGCAAGCTGTGGAATGTGCTGACTTAGGCTGTGCCGAGCAGGACACAGCCAAGCTGGCCCCTGAGAGGCTTGGCTGCCCCTCCATTGGGGAACTGCAGGTCTTCCCTCTGGTCTTGAAGGTGCACTCCCTGGGCAGTTCTCGAGCTGGCACCCTCCAGACTTCCATGACCACTTGTGGGTCCTGAGTGGGCTGTGCAGTAGATGTAAAGTAGGGGCTGGATTTCAGACAGTATGGGAAAAAATGGCCACAGAATATCTCATTAAGAATTTTCAGGGCTGGGGATTTAGCTCAGTGGTGCCACCGCCTGCCTCCCAAGCCCAAGGGTCCTGAGTTCAATCTCTAGTAAAAAAAAAAAAAAAGAATTTTCAGCAGGGCCAGCATTTGGGAGGTTGAGGCAGGAGGATCACAGAGAGTTCAAGGCCAGCCTGGGCTACATATGGAGACCCTATTTTTAAAAATTTTTTTTTAGGGCTGTAAGCTCACACTTGACATCCCAGCACTCAGGAGACTAAGGCGGGAGGGCTGCTGTGAGTTTGGGGCCAGCCAGGGTTATGTAGCAAATTCAAGACCCTATCTTTAAAAAAAAATTTTTTTAAATATTTATGACATGTCAAAATGATATGTGGGTTCAATAAAATATATCACTGAAATTGGTTCTACCTGTTTTGTTGTATGTGGCATAGGAACATTTACATTGTCATGTGTGGCTCCTGGTGTATTTCTTGGGGGGCTCCCCTGGCACAGGGCCTGTCCCAGGGTCAGCCTTGGAATCGATAATGATCATAGAAAAGTTCAGGCCGCTGAAATGGGCTAAGCTGCCTGGATAGGTATGAAAGTTAGGCCTTCCACAGTGCTGCTACATGGGGAGTCGCCGCCATTTTTCAGAGGAGGAAACAGGCTTTCCTGAGGCCTCCCAATCGGAAGAGCCAGCCTGGTGGAAGCCAGCGGGGGCATCTCTGGACTCCTAGTTTACTGGAATATATTTTGGGTTGTTTTTTGAGACAAGGTTCTTGCAAGGTAGGTAGCCCAGGCTGGCCTCTAACTCCTGGTGATTCTCCTGCCTCAGCCTTCCAAGTGCTGGGATGACAGGTGTGCACCACCATGCCTGGCTCAGACTTCTGTTCAGATCCTGTGATTTTGCAGGTGAGGGAAATGAAGCCTGGAGAGGTACTGAGAGCTGCCCACAGCCAAACAGCAAGCAGCTCTGGAACGTGGCAGGTCCGAGAGGGCCCTGGAAATGTCTGAAAGATGGGGTTTCTCTGCCTGTTTCATGCTTGCCACCTTCCTAGCAATGGTTTAGGGAAAGGAGAGGTCGGTGAGGGAGAAGGGGTGTCCAGACACTTGAATCCTCCCTTGCTGGAGCCAGCAAGCCCTGGCTTCTTTGGGGAAATGGAAGCCACATTTATCCCGCTGCCAAGGTGTGAGCTCACTGTCTAGGCATGTGCAGCTCCTGACCCCAGCCCCACGTGTCCTTGCTCGACCTGTGGGGAAAGCGGGGCTACCCAGGAGGCTCAGCCGCCCAAGGCCATCAGGCCCCCAGCCCTGGGGAGACATCCCTGCCCCCTCTCCCTCTGCCAGTCCCTGCAGCTCTCCACAAAGCTGATCCGGGAAGCCAGCCTGGTTAGTGTCCTGGCTTTTTGGTTGGCACAGACGCTCTGGCTGGCCCTGCTGGCTGGCTTGACTTCGCTTCTTAGGTTTCTTTTCTTCCTGTTGAAACACGCGTTCATGGGCAAAGTGTCAGGAACTTGGCAAAAGGAGTGAGCATTCTTGATGGGGGTGGTGGACAGAGGCAGAAGCAGGAGGGAGAGGCTTAGGTCAGGAGAGGCCTGGCCCTGGGGGTCCGGAGCTGGGATGGCAGAAGAACGGTAGGTGCTAGACTGGGCTTCTGTCTCCACGCCCAGCATCCAAGGGTCCTCATGGTCACACTCTGAGTCCCGAATCCTTCTACTTGGAGAGTAAGAAATGGAGGTGGCACAACCTCCACTTAACAGACAGTGGCTCAGAAAGGTGAAGAGACTTGTGGAGGGCCCCACAGCCAGGAGTGTAGAGCAGGGCTGGTGGGGTTTGGGGTGGGGTCTTGGCTGCAGTGCTAATGGGGGTGTGTGTAGGTGGGGGGAGTCACCCAGGGAGGCTGTTTGGGGAACCCCAGGGTTGGGACTTGGCGCTGGCTAGCGATAGAGCTACAAAAGGAGCCAATTTCCAGGATTCCTGGGCCCCTTGGGCCTTGCCAGCCTGTGGGAGGCCTGGCCACCACTGAGGCGCCCCCTGGTGGCCAAGGCGATGCCAGAGGACACAAGAGTCCAGGGTGATGCAGCTCTTGTCTTCTGGATTCTAGACAGACAGGTTAGAGATTTTTCAAAAAAGAGGGACTCTCATAAACATCTGAAGACGAGCATGTCTTAAAATGTTTATTTAATTTACATAGGAAACAGGCAGCTGTTGTAAGGGGTTCAAAGGGTCTGAAACCCGGGTGTGGTGGTGAACACCTGTCATCCCAGCACCGAGGCGCTGAGGCAGAAGGATCACAAGTTGGAGATCAGCCTGGATAATTCTGTAATTTATTTATTTAGGCACTGGGCATCAAACTTGGGACCTTGCACTTACAAGGCAGGAGGAAGAACCATTGATCTAAATCCCTGGCCCAACAATTCTGTAATTTAGCAAGGAGACCCTGTCACAAAATAAAGAAGAAAGGGCTGGCTGGGATGTAGCTAGGTGATAGAGTCCTTGGTTTGATCTCAGGGTCAAGGATATTCAAGGAGCGCTGGGGATTTAGCTCAGTGTTGCGGACACCAGCCTTGCAAGCACAAGGTCCAAGTTTGATCCCTGGTACAAACAACAACAACAACAACAACAACAACATTCAAGGTCACTGCCAGTGGATACCAACTGGCTTTCCCAGGGCGTGGAGGGCTGGTGATTGAATCTTCCAGTCCGCAGTGCTTGCCTCTATCGGTAGGAAGGACTGTGGATCTAGTCAATGGTTTACAACAGTCAGGGCTGTAAAATAGCTGAAAGACTAGACTATGAATCAGGCAGTGGGAAGGGTGTTTTGTTTATAGATATCACGCTGAAAGATCCCTGACTGCTGATCTGACCCCTTTCCTTGCAGCCAGGAGAAATCCTTCCTTCCTTTCCTCCCTCCCTCCTTCAACACCTGCTCATCTGCTGTGCACTGGTCCTTGGGAATCAAAGCGGAAAAGAGGAAAGCAGGGAAGGGTGACTTCAGATCTGAAGATAAATTGGCCGGGTGTGGAGCTTGAGCCTGTGTCCCAGCTACTTTGGAAGCTGAAGCAGGAGAATTACTTGAGCTCAAGAGTTCGAGGCCAGTCCGAGCAACAGAGTGAGCCCCGCTCCTTCCCAGATAATCAAGGTGCATGCCTAGCACTGCAGTAAAACCCAGATCACACAGACCCCTTCCAGGGGCAGGGGCAGGGAAGGCTGCTCCCAGATGACCTCCTGGAAGAGGGCATCTGAGAAGGGTAGTCCCAGGTGGGTACTGCAGATACAAAAGTCAGGAGGCCTAAACAGGGAGGAGGCCTTCAGGGGATATGGGCATCTTTGTCTCCTCTCACTAGAGGGCCAGTTCTTGGCTCTCCCTAGACCAGAGGCTGGCACAGAATAGATGCCATATGGGCAGAGATGTGTCTCCCAGGGCAGGTGACACCCCAGCCGAGGAGGGACAGGGCAGAGGGCCCTGGTCCCCTGAGGGGTGCGGCCCTGCCACCTCCCAGTCTTAGATCTGGGGCTCCTGCTCCAATAGCTCTGTGTCCCCCAGAAACATGGAGCCCCAAACTACAGTCTCCACCAGAGCCCCATTTCTCAGGATGTCAGGACTGTGGGGTCAAATTTCTCTTCCTGTTTTTTGTTAGTGAAGTTCACACGATTTAAGGTTCATCCCAGTGCCCAGGTCAGGGTCAGTCAGCACAAGGCTATGCACCACTTGTCTAGGTCCACAACACTCATCACCCCAAGGTGATCCCCCCATCAGCAGCACCCCAACTTCCTGCCCAGCTCCCGCTGCCTCTGGACACCCTCCATGAAGTCACACACTATGCAGCCTGTCTTGCTGCTGGAACTCAGCACCATGTTTTCAAGGTTTGTCTGTTAGTGTTTGCAGCCAAGTAACATTGCACTGTATGGATGGACTGTATTTTGTTCATCTCTGTTGATAGAAACGCAGGTTATGTCCCCCTTTCAGTGGTTGTGAGTAATCCTGCTATTCATTGGTGAAAACCAGGGGCAGTGGGACATCTGCAATCCCAGCCATTTGGGAGGCTGAAGCAGGACAATCACGTTTTGAGACATGCTTGGGTAACTTAGTGGGACCCTATCTCAAACTAAAAACAAAATCAAATATAAAATAAAATGTGCTGGTGGTGTAGCTCGGTCCCCAGCACAACACTTTAGAGCGCTGTGCTCCCATCGTTGTGTTTGAACCTGGCGTGGAAATGCTGGGCTGCAGGGTAGGCAGCTCCGCTTTACTGTAACGAGATGAGATGGACACTTGAGAGAGGGAAGGTTTAAGGTTTACTCAGCTCATGCTGCCTTGGTTCCAACTAGGCAACGGGGAAATGTCTGCCCACAAAAAAGCTCCCCTCGCCAGGCAGCAGTGCCCTTTGGGTGGCATCCTGAGGACCCCAGGCCTCCAGCCAGGCCACACCTGCTAGGCCCCAGCGTCTCCAGGAGCGCCACCTAGGACAAAGCCTTTGACACAAGCCTTACAGGAGGGATGCTGAGTCCAGATGCTCCTGTAAAGGGATTCTTTTTGTTTCTGCGTGCTGGCAACAGAACCTGGATCCTGTTCACAGTAGGCAGGTGCTCACCACTGAGCAGCACTCCAGCTCAGCGGAGGGTGATCTGTGATAAGCTTACTGAGGAGTGGCCGAAGTGTTATCTATGCTGGAAAATCACAAAGCCTGCTGGTGCAGACACTCCTGCGATATCAGCATTCTGGAAGGCCGAGGCAGGAGGACTGCAACTCAAGCCCAGACTGTGCAACTTGGTGACATGAGCCCCCTGGGTTCACTCCCCAG